ATATTTATTTAGTTTCTCTCGAAATAGTCTCCATTAAAGGTAATACATAAAAATATTTCAATATTCAAAATTTTTTCTCATATTCATAAAAATATTTCAATATTCAAAATTTTTTCTCACATTCATAAAAATATATGCATATTTAGAACTTGTTTTCCTTATTCATGGTACTCGTGCTAATCGATGGTCATAACATCATCGTACAACACCATTCCGAATGCCATAAGCTCTCCTCCCAGATATTGAGCCATCGATCGCTTTGGACGGCTTGCACCGGTTGCTATCCACACAAGTGATTGCCGCTTTAACTTCGGAGTAAAATGATGGATCGATGTTTTATTCAATATTTTTTATATTTCGCTTAAACAGCTCCAAACAGCTTTCTGAATCGTTGACAAGTTATTGTTTTTGCTCAACTGTGAGCAAATGATACACCTACTTCGTAATAACTTTCTCATGGACAAATGTTCATGTAAAATTAGTCCACATGTCCCTTTAATATGCTTACAATATCAGCTGTCGCAACACTTCACGGTTTCCAGTGTGACTACTTTATTTAAGTGACCAGTGCATTCCACATCATTAGTGTCTATACGGCCTCACTTAAAGTATAGAAAGTAGAGTTGGGATAACACTTATGAAGTCAGTTTTCGGTTTGAACTGTATTTTTTTTATTAAGAAGAACTGATATATTAACAAAGAAATTGCTTCGACTCTATTTACTTCACAACCATTTAGACCACTATAACACTCAAATTACATCGCTCTCAACAAGAAAAGTCTAGTCACTCTCTGGTGCGATAATAGGCCACGCCGCATGTCTATAACCAATGTATCGACAAGTCTTTTTAACATACATTAAAAATATTACTTGAAACATTACAGTCAAATTCGAACAGCAAAATATATCCATCCTTTATTATACCAAAAAATTCATCCTTTTTATTTTCTTGGAAACAAGAAAAATGAAATTACTCGGAATATGTTTGACATTTGCTAACAAAGTTTTCCATCTGAAGTCAGTGTGTAATACTGTAACTTCACTGCTACAACTCATTCATAAGACCCATTCCCTAAACACTTTTCGCAACATCTTGATTAGGTATAGAAGGCTTCTTCGATTTTTCTAAAATTTATATTAAATGCTTGATTTCTTTTTCAATGAAACTGATAGTTTTAATTGAGAAAACTTTTTAATCAATTGAATCAAAACCGAAGGTTTTCAAAAGTTCATTTAACGTAAAAGTCAATATGCAGACTCAACTCTCTTGCTAATTGTATAATCTATATTATTAGAGTTAACTTTTTATTACTATTTTATTAAATAGTAAAAGTCATAAATGAGTATATTAAAATAATTGACTTATCTTACAAGCTGTTCTTAATTAAAAGTATATTTGCTTAAAGAAAAGTCCTTGTTATGATAAAATTCATGAAGCATTTGTACTTGAACGTTTCTGTTGATCAGATAAAAAGCTGCTGAACAATCTTTTCCAGTTCAGACAAAAAAACATATAAAAGCAAATTAAGAAATTTACACATCATTATGTTTAGTTGTGTTATGTACCCCAAGATACTTTATATCCATTAAAAGCGTGCGTGTTTTACAACAATTCACAGCTTACAACTTCAGCACATTTAATTTAATGAAGAAGTGACAGATAAATAACTGCCGAACAAAAAGAATTTTCCTCCGCTTAAATTGGTTTAGTGCACCCCAGAGGAAACACAATTTAAGCGAGAAAAGACTTGCAGACATGTAAAAGGTTCTACCGCCTGCAGGTAAAACATGGGTGAGCTGGGCCAGCAGAGTAGGAATAAGTCGTTTCCGAAAGTGAGAAAATGAAATGCTAAAAAGTTAAATCTACTAAAAGGATCCACAGATGTTTCCTTAACATTAAAGTTAGGTTAAAAAAAGATGACATCGAATTTATAAATAATTTTTTAAAATTGAAAATATATTTTCAGGGTATATGTAAACTAAACACAGTTCATTTGAGTTAAAAATTTAATTTTAATCTGAATTAAAAATTTTATAAAATTCTACTACACAGATCGATCATTATAGCACACAAAATAAACGAGATATATGCAATTTTAACTCATAAAGGGACGTTCTAGGACAAGCATTATTTTGAGAATAGAAAACGGATTAGGTTTGGTTAGGTAAGGTTGGAGTGGCGGCCTCATGTACCAAGAAAGCTCACTTAAGCTCAAATAATGGTCCGTTGTGGTACCACAGAAATAGCGTTGATTAAAGTGGACACATTTTGAAATCCAAATATTTTTTAAAATCAAGTAAGTCCTTGGATTGACTATATAGTTACTATAGTTAATGCCAAATATCCATCTAACTAGCTTTAATTATAAAAGATACTTCAAGTAGGTTAATGTATACTTAGTGATGTCTACGTTAGTATAAGGAAAAATAAAGATAGCAAACGAAATTGTCTATTGATGGGCACTTTTTTGTCCTAATATTTACCAGCATCTAATAAAAATATTTCAGAAATTAGATTATTTGGTAAATTAATTGAATTTATAAGCAAAATTAATTAATTATAATAATTAATTAAAAATTAACAAACGACCAAATTCACATTATTTAATTATTTATTGAATTAACAAATAATAAAATTCAAAATACCTCTCTATTAAAAAAAGAGTTTATATTAAGAGATATGGTTTCCTTCGTCATAATTGTCTTTAAAAACTTAAAGTTAATATTTAATAAAATTTTTAACAAAATACATAGTTAAACTTACTTAAATTTCATTTGTACAGTCAATTATGATGAAAGCAGTTTACCTTAATACTTCATTCTTTAAGTACAATTTTTTATAGTTTCCAAGGCACGTACCTTGGCTGGTGAGTTTTGGATTGGTTTTTCTTACAATGCACTTCAAAGTGTGGAAATCATTTCCTGGTACTATTGTTGAAGAAAATGCGTTGGGTTTATTGTCTTGGTTTTGGTCTTTAAAACAAAAAACTTTAAGAGTAGAAAAGTTATTTTGCAGAGTAAATAATAGAAAAAAATAATAAAAAAGCAAAAATTGGTACTTTGAGAGATCACACAATAAAGAAAAAATTATAAGTTAAGAATAAATGTTTAAATTTAAGATTTAGAAAAAGAAAATAATTTTTTATTCAATAAAAATATTTGAAAAAGAATGAATGACGTCATTTGTCTTATAGGAATGAAACTTCACTTCCTACGGTCAAAAGCATAACACTAAAGTCTCACACTGAAGCTCAACCACTTAATATAACATAGACTTTATTCGAAAAGGTACTTCATACTTTTCGAAATCCAACACTCACAGCCTGCTCTGGCCAATCTACAATACTTGTACGTACGATGTTTTAAAATCAGTTCATAAAGCTCTGACATAAATTACTCTAAGAAATACACATCTTAATAGTGACTAATGACCTTTGTAGTTTTAAATACTTTCTTAAAACAGTCTATGACTACTCCACGAGAAGGTTAGATGGTTTATATCGTATATATAAAACGTGATAAAATAACAAGAACACATTTGTGGTATTTAATTATTCTTGAACTGGTCATCCTGTATAGTTGAGATTATCATAAATAACAATTGTTCCAATCTTCAATTCAAAATTTAAGTAAAGAAATTATGCTAAAATTTAATTTACAGAATTTTAGAATTACAGTGTTTTATTTTAAAAGCTTTAAAATATAATGCCTCGTTATCACTATTCCCTTATTATTCTTTAACAATTCTAATATAAACTTTAGCATAATTCATAATTATTTATCTTGCATTTCGAATAGATGCAAAAACAAACGTTGCTCATTTAGTGACTTGGGTTTCGAGGAACACAAGAACCTCTTCAACTAGTAAATGCTCACTTTCATTTGCATTTAAAACTTATTTACGCAATGATTTTTCCCTCAAGTATTTTATTATGTTAAAATCCCCTCTCTGCAATGACTTTCCCTGTTTCACATCTGAGGGATTCTCTTTCAGTGCAGGACTATTCACTTCACAACCATTAAGTACGGCAGCACTGTTTGTATTCATCCACACTTGAATGTTCTATTCAACATTTTTGCATCGCTGTAATCCTTCATAGTCGATTTCTCCTGACTGCAGTGCCACAAGGACATGCAAATATTTTATTTACAATTTTTACGAGTACAAGTACAATAATTTGTTATATAAATTTTTGTGTTGAATTACTGTTTTTGTTGTATTATTTACAGGATTGTGTCAGGATAGTTTAGAAACAAAAGATGTGACTACCAGAAGTTTCATTTTGTAAAAGAATAACCTTTAAAAAATCCTTTTAATATGTTTGGTAAGTCAACTTATTATATATATATAAATAATATATGTATTTTATAGGTCCTGACATTGCAAAAAAAAGGTAAAAATTCTGTTAAAAAAGTATTTATTATAATTTATTTATAACAATTTATTCTGTTTATTCTTATTAAGTCAAATGGATCTTGCAATACTGCATAAAGATCTATTGTGCTCCTTCATAGATTTAGATTGTTTCCTATACATTTTTTATGCTGAATTAAACAAATAAATTGTACTTCGATTCCGTTAGTATCCAATCTCATAAGTTTTTGCGGTATAGAGAGTAGAAACTTTTACAATTCTCAAGATTTATTTCAAAGGAAACGCTTTGAACTAATTGGAATATATACTGGCTGAAAGTAATGGATTGAGATGATTAAAAACCAAAAAATTAAATATTGTTTACGTACCCATGATGAAATTTTTTCAGTATCAGCTTAATTTGTTGTACAGGCACCAATACGATTTAACGATGAGAATTAAAAAAAATGTCACTAAATTCAGTGGGTGTTAATATTTTTTATTACCGTATTAGTTCTAAAAATGTTAGTATATGTATAATACTAACATATCGATGATTAACGAGGAGATATTTCAGTTAGACACGGTATGATCATCAATATTTAAGTCATTTAGTTAGCATTATTATTAAAATCTAAATAATTTCTTCAAGTTTTAGCAAAGAGATATCACTGTTGCGCACGGTATGTTAAAGTGTAATGAACATTAAGGATTTAATAATAATCACTTCAGATTTGAGCATCGGCAAAGAGATATCAATGTTACACACGGTATGTTAAAGTGTAATGAACATTAAAAACAGAAAAATAATTACTTTAATTTTAGTAAGCAACAAGGAGATACTCAGATAATTTATCTGAAATATCGATCCTTACTATAAAGTAATAAAATGAAATTAGTAGTCGCGGTTATCGCTATGGTGATGAGAATCATAGCGACGTTCAGGAGACTCTCGATGCTCAAGCTTACGGCGTTTCATACCATAGTATTCACGACGTGCATAATCATACTTCTTATCACCATCTCTGCGCCGAAATTCACTATGCTCACGCTCGTTTTCGCAGGATGAACAGCGGCAATATTGATGGAAACCATAACTTTTAAAACCTCGTTCACTAAAAAAATTAAAAGTAAATAATACAATATGTTGTTATTTTAACAATATTTTAATAGTTTTTATGTTTTAGCTAACATACCGTTCTCGTCGATTACGACCTAAATACACTCCAGGAGTCGGTTTGTGAGGCCGCTTACTAATACTGAAATCTATCCTCACTTTTCGGCCATGTACATGGAGATGGGCACAATTTTGAACAGCGTACTTGGCATCAGATAAGTGTTTAAAATATATAAAACCGAATTCGCGAGATCGGCCTGTCTAATAAAAAAACAGTTTATCAAAACCACAACTCAAGGAACATTCATAATCTTGTACCTTTGCATCTTCAACCAAGTGAATATGGCGAATTCGGCCGAATTTTGAAAATATCGATCTCAGATGGGATTCGTTTGTAATACTACTAAGCCCGAAAGCGCCAACGCATCTAGATGGCCTCGGGTTCACCTAAAAATAAATTTTTATATGCATTCAGAGCATAAAAATATATTTCAATTATAATAAAAATATCAATAGAATTATTATTATAATATTAAAAGAATTTTAAAATAGTGGAGATTATAAATATATAGAAAAAGTTTTTATAAATATTTATTTATAAATGTGTTTAGTTATCTTTATATGTAATTTGAAATAATTTGACTTACCCTAGCGTTGTCACCATTTCTGTCACGAGGAGATCGCGAGTACCGTGAACTACGACGAACATCTGGCGAATATGAACGATTGTCACTATCTCTAGATCGCGAACGTTTATAATACCCGGATGAACTCGAAGTCGATGACGAACGAGCCCGTGATGGAGATCGTGACCGGGACCGATGACGAGAGCGATACCGAGACCTGGAACTAGAACTTGAACGTGAACGTGAACGGCTGTTAGATCTCGAGCGGTGGGATAAGTCACTAAATAGGAGAAAAAAAAATATTTATTAATAAAAGTTTGAGAGTGCAGTTGAACAAAGCCTTCAACATCCATTATAAAAATTGCGTGATAATTGCAAATACCAAAATTTTATTTGTGACAATCAGAAAAAGGGTTTTAAAAAATTCTGATGGTTGAGTATTGTTTGACTTAAAACATTGCGCCTTGCAGTATTGAGTTCTTAAGTCTGTCATTTGAAAAAGTTGCATTTGAATTGCAGTTAAAATTGAAATTCTTTCTATTATTGAATTTTGTGCACTTCGCTTTTTCATTTTAGAATCATAAATAAGTTGGCCTTTAGTTTGTTTTTGCAAAGAAAAATGTCAAACTATAGTCTGAATATCTTTAAGTAATACTATTACTTATTAATATATAATAACTGAATATAAGAAACAAATTATGATTTCAATATAATTTACATTTTAAAATATTATATAAAACGTTTGCGTTCATTTGAGTTAACATAATTTACGAGTATATGGTTTGATTCGATTATGAAAAAAAACTTACTCCGATCGTTTGTCATCAGAATATCGACGCTTAGCTGAGGTTTTAGCTGCAGTTTTAGCGACAGTTGGTTTCAATTCGGACTTCTTATCATCTTCCATACTATGAAATGTTGAAATAAAATATATTTATTAAATCTATTTATATATAGCAATATATTTTTATTTGAAACACGTTTCATAAAGCAAATACCACTACCAAATGATGTAACAATATGGTTATTAGTTGCAAAAAATGTTGGCATATAATTTATTAGATATGGATTTTTTTATATTAATATGATGGGTTAGAAATAAAACCACAAGAGGAGGTAAAATTTTTGGTTATAAGCTTTGATCAAAAACTATTATAAAAATCTCACATCCAAGAAGTGACAAAAAAGGCAAGCAAAGCCTTTATGACATGTAGATTCGTCGAGGGTAAGAATTGGGGGTATACACCAAAATCAGTGCGATGGATATACACAACAATATTCAAACCTATGGTTACCTACGGTTCAATAGTTTGGCAGAACTGTACAAAACAGAAAACGTTATTAACACACTTAAAATAACAAGTTACAGCGACTTGCACGTGTTAGCATAATGGAAACGATGAGAATATGCTCTACCTCATCAATTGAAGAGTAATTACAAACAAGATGACGGGTCTTGGTCTTGAAGTACTCCTGGAGCTCACACCCTTTCACATCCATGTGCAGTCACAAGGTGAAGAGGGCTGCTCTAAGAGTAATTAAAAATAAGATGACGGGTTTTGGAACTAACAGTGAAATATTTGATAATATGGCTATACAAATGCCAAAGACTAATATATCACTGAAATATCAACGGGCAGGATGATTGTAAAACAAAAAACTGAAGTTGGCAACAAAAAGAATTGGGATTAGGACAAAAAGAATTGATCTGAGGTCATTTATTGCTTAATCTGATGAAGTTATAGACAATAATCCAGTCAAGGCGTAGAGAGGGGCTGTGAAGGAACCTCGCAATTAATAGAGAGTAAAAGTGTTCAAGTACACTGACTCAAATAACCTCAACATAATAAAATGCTTATAGGGACTTACAACCAAAAATGCTTCAAAGAATAAATAGAACAATCAAAAAACAACCTAAGAATAATCACGGGATTATTGACCGGTCACTGTAGATTGGATAATCACCTAACGAAATTAGGAATTCCGACTTAGACTTTAATCTATACTGCTAAGAAGAGAGCGAAACTGCCTACTATGTGCTTGAGGAGTGCCCGGCACTGATGCACAAGCGGAAGAAACACATAGGAGGGTATCTCATGGATCATAAGAATTCAAGAGTATGAAAGATAGGCTTGGAGAAACACTCTAATCCGAATAAGGGGCACAATAGGTCTTTTAGTGAACTCCCCCTTTTCAAATAATAATACAATAATATTACATTTTTATCTATAACGGAATTTATTTGCTAATACGGGACATAACTCTATGAATTAAAGCACGAAATGCATTTTAAATATAAATTATATTGAGATTTCTTAATAAAAAAAATTCCTGTGTTCTACAAGTAATGAGATAAAGATAAATATGATAATGGTATATTAGTATTTAACAAATTCATTTTGAGATTCATGACTGAAGTATCCATCTTCCTCTATTGTTTGTTCAACATAACCTTATTATATAAAGTATGTATATCCAAATTTCTTATGGGTTTTGGTAGTTCTTCAACGTAAGATTGATGAACCGCCATGTTGTAAGAAAATTATTTCAAAAAATCATGCTCACCTTTCTAAAAAACTATTCAGTTATAAGCTCTTGATTTTCTTCTTTTATAGAACTTAATTGAAATCTTTGCATTTATGTAGGTTAAAATTATATTTACAGATATATTAAGAGGTTTATCAATGTAATGTGTAATGTTATTTATATTAAATATTAAACAATAAACTTTTTTGCTTACCTTGGAATGATGTTCAATGATGTTAGAATGATAGTAAAAAACTTCAAAGAAAATCACTGTATAAGTCTTAAAAATCAATTGAAAATTATTGCACTAACGTTTAAATTGAATTAATATATAAATCTTAAAGATTGAACCCCTTAAGATTTTAAACTTTTTACCAATGTTTTATGAAAGTTTGTATGAACTGGAGAACTTTCCGATTAGTAATAAAGGAAGTTCGGAAATTATTTATTGTTTGTCGGTATACATATGTCAGTTTTCGGGAACAGGGTTGCTTATTATAGTTTACAATTATTTGTAAAGTGAATATCTAACAGTAATAAAAATGTAGTAGACAGATTTACATACAAAAATATTTTATCAAAACTTGATATTTAGAAATCTTGCACAATAATAAAACAATAAAATAGACACAATACTATCACAAAAGGAAGGGCTCCATCTAATACAACTGTTAAGTCAGATTAAGTCAGAAGAGTCTTTGAAGTATTTCGAAGTTATATAACTTGGAGCATGATTTTGTGGTTCTCGTGAACCGAACTATAGGATACCTTCGTTTTCAAAAAAAATTACCAAAGAAGCATGCTCTTTCCTTAATATAATTGAAGATAAAAAATATCTCATGTCCTCATTTTGTTAAAGTTATTATTTTTCTTTACTTATTAACATTTATATTCAAGAATATTACATATATTAATAGACTTATGAAGTGAGAAATAAAATAATTGTGGTTTCTATAAAATCGGTCTTACTCACCTTAAAAATGAATTTAATCACAAGACGTCAAATAATATAATTTAACGTTTTTAATCAATTAACTTTTTAATTAAATGTAAAATGAAGTAAAAAACTGTATAAAATGTAGACTAAATCACTTTAAATTAATTCTTTATTCCTGAGACTTGATTGCGAAGTTACGGTTTTATAGCACTGCTTGATTTGCCGACTGCTCAAGAATAGAAAGGAAGTTGACTTATAAGTTAAGTTAGTTGTAGAAACCTATTCCCTGGCTGGGTTGCACTGTTATTTTGTCAGTACTTTTTATTGAAGATATGGTTAGACCTGCCTATATATTGTTCAAAATTATTTATGTAAGTAATTTATATATAACCAATATTATGTACATTATTGAATTAAAATTATGACACATTGACACTGAAAAAAATTATTTTTGTTCGATGTATTGTAATTTTTTTGCTTATTTTTTATATAGTAATATCGCATTAGTAAGGAATAAATTTCGTACCAAAAATTTCTTTTATAAAATCAGTACAAACCTTATGTCCTAAGGTTTAAACAATTTGGTACAAAACAATTTGTATAAATCATATGTTAATAAAAATAACATAATAAATAATATAATAATAAAAATAATAAACTAAAACTAAACTAAACTAAAAACTTTAAACTAAAAAGGAAAAAAATTCTTTATTTAATTAAGGAATTTTTGAGAGCTATATAAAACAAATGTAATAAAAAAAAGACTATACATTCCCATGTAGGATATTTAAGCGATATGTCTGTTAATTTCCATAAAGCTAAAGACCACAAATTAACCGGTTCACAACTCGCAACTCAAGTGTGAATTCTGCCAAAATTCGTTAAGGACGATTAAGTTTGCCACAAGATTAGTGGTGAGGAAAACATAAGTGAATAATTATAAACTCATTAGTGTCTCGACTGTCATTTGTAATATTTTCTTCCTGCATAGGTTACTTTCCTTATTTGGTTTGATGGAGTAAAGTTTCTCACAAATTTACAGGCAATACAAGATTAATTTTTCAAGCTTCATGCTTTTAAGTGATTGTATGTTCTTTAGAATATTTTAGCATAATTAGTCCCTAAATTTATATGAATGAGTATCTTATGTTGATTGGAACACTTTTAGAGTATAAGAGAATATATTGACATAATATTGAAATTAAAGTGTATTTAAATAAAATTTTATTTTATTTAGTATTTAAAAACAAATAATATGATGAAAATAAAAATTTACATCGAAATGGAGTACCTATTCCATAGTAATGTGTGATAAATAAGACCTGTCGTCTTCTGTCATAGTGTAATAGTATTGAAATTTTCCAATGAATCCATATTATCCACATATGTTAAGATGAATACCTTAATACCTTCACCAATGTAAGCAATATTTATAATTTCTTCTTTCATCTATTGTTGACCTCTATTCGTTGTCTTAATACCTCTGCCAATGCGAAAAAGGATATATAAATATTATATAAGAGTAGTTTACTGCAAGTAAAACTGGATTCACACGAGAATTTTGATAGTAATTTTAGCTGTCAAATATTTTGAACTGACATCTGAAATCAAGAAGTAAAAATATCGTTTCAAACGACGTATCATTATATCACGACAAAATGTTCTCATTTCAAACAGCTGATTTGCCAATTTGCCTGTTGATTTTATTTTTGGCATATGCCAAAAAGTGTTGGATGAAGATAAAATATGCCTTAAAACCTCACAATATAAACTGTGTTATATGTTTTTTCTATCAATTTTTCTATTAATTTATTTATTTCAATTAATTTGATTAAAATTTCAGAATTTTTTTTACTTTCACAAGTACTGCGTAAATAAACAATTGAAAAATTTTAATTCAAACCAAAACAGCTGATTGACACGTCAACACAAATTTTACTTAAAGTAAACTGTACGTGTACAGTTTGTATAGCACTTTAAAATTTCGACAGGGATGTTATATGGAGTTTACATTCGCTCCAAATGTATGTGGTAGATGATGCATGTTATTAGTTTATATATTATATATATTTATATTATTTATTAACCCAATATTTTTGTTAATCATTCCCATATGGTAAATATTTAAACATTTTTTATTTATTTTTTAAAATATACTCCAAATTAATCATCGGAATGTTTCGCAGTTTGTTGAAACGTTGAAACGAGCGGACAATTAAGGTAAGCTATAGTATTAACAGTTAAAAACTTTTAGCAGTTAACTTACCTAAATTTGTAGATCACCATGGCTTATATATCTTTATGTTAATTATAGTCGACTGGAGTTGATACCTATAACCTCACCTTACATTTCAGTTAATACTGATGCTTGAAATAAGAAAAGAGATTCTTCTCTTTAGAAATTCTTGAGCGTGATGAAACAATGCAATTTATCTAAAGTGGTCGATCATATATAATAATTGGTTTAATTTCATTTGATATCGTTTATCGATATTCTATTATCGATAATATCTATAATCCAGTTGCCAATTGAGTACAAAGCTCGTAGGAACTAGAATCCAAGTTGCGTGCTTGATGATCCTGAGGTGCCTTGTTGAACAGACAACTAAATTGGGAATGGGAATGGAGATAGATTAGAAGAGAGAAGAGTCATAGATTGTTGCACTAATTTTATCTTTTATACCTAAAGCAAGTTCTTTACGCAACAGAAGATAGGTTAATAGGAAGATAGATTGATAGATAGGCTTAATCAGCAACAGAATACATTTTTTAGAAGATTCCTAACTTTGGTAGAAACTTCTATTCATTTTTCTAGTATAAGTTTATGGTGACCTATATGGCATTTATTTTTGTGAAATATTGTAATTAATTAAAAGGCAACAAAAACACAAGTTTAACCGACTTTATTTTAGTCCATATGACTTACTTATTGAAAAAAATTTCATGACTAAATCCGTTTGACAATATCCATATTAAAAAAAATATATCTTAATACCCGATTCTGAGTTAGAAAAAAATATAACAGTTATCTTCTTAAAGTTCTATGCTTGTATATTGACATAACTGCCGCGTTCTCTCAGATGTATTTTGATAAGAGCTAATGTTGTACGTTGCATTAGAGACTTTAATTAGAGACTGTTTCTAGGCAAAACTTAATAACAAAAGTTTTTTCCAACTTCGAATATTGAAAATACAGCTGCCTATAGTTTTGATAACAATTTCATTAATACCTATCAAAAAGCATTTTTTTTTGCTTTATTTGCAAATTTTAATTACTTTCTACTTTTCATAGTTGAAATTACCTTAAGTTGGGCTTCTGTTGTATTTGTTGTGATTATTTCACTGCAACTCCATAAACAGTTTTCTGCTCCAAATTGCAAAATTACAAAAGTCCGTCCGTTCGACGTTGTCCTTTTACCTTAGTGAAAACACATTAAATAGTCGAAATTTGTTTTTATTTGTTTAATTTCGAATTTCATGTCATTGCAGCTGTTGCATCAACGTAATCGCTTTGTGAAAATCTGCATGAATGCACATTTTAATGCAAAATTAAAAGGAAACTCTTATTTGCACCTTTTCAATGCAGCAAATGGCAAATACCATAGTAAATTCGTTTCAATTTTGTTTAAAATTTTCACAGCAACAAAGGAGTGAGTATACATTTGAGGAATTATTTTTCAATCTCTAAATATGGGATTGAGTTGGTTGGCATTTTATATAAAGTTGGTATCTTCCTGACAACGTATTCAAAAAATCCGATTATAGTTTCTTTTCTTAACTATAAATAACTACAAATTGCTTATTTTATATCATGAATATTTAATGAAGTCTGTTAAATACAAAACTGTTAAAAATAACAGCTGATGTCTGGGCCAATATATGTCCAAGAAATCTTTGACTTTCAGATTCTGCTTCATTCGATAAATTTGCGATGATGTTTGTCCGAAATTAAACTAAGCCATTAAATAGAATTTTGTACCATAGACCCATTCTTTTGAAAGACTGTTGTGAAGAAACAACGTAAGGATTACGGCAACTCTGGAAAAACTGGAAACTTTTATTTTGATACATGACAAGTTTATACCTATATGCGAGTACAGAAATACACATATTGACAAAATACGTAATTTAAAATTAAACTTTCGAAAGTGAATAATAATTTTTTAACACTAAAAAATAAGTAGAACAAATAACAATCACGAAGTACAAGTAATTAACAAAAACATATGTTGACAGAAATCATTCACAATAGTGGAACTTTTAGTCTTGCCAATCATGCGATTTGAGCTGCTTATTAGTTAAGCGATTTTAAAGAAGTTGAACTTAATAAGCTAGCAGTGCTGTTGTTTCATATGTTATTTTTAA